GAGACAGGGCATCTGGCCAGGGACTGCTACCAGAGCGGATCTCAAGGCGGTGGAGATAGGTACGGCAGCGGCGGCGGCGGCGGTGGCGGTGGGAACTGCTATAGCTGTGGCGAATCTGGGCATTTCGCTAGGGAGTGTCCAAACAGTGGCCGTTGATCTCGTAAATTGGTGACTGGCATTTACTTTTGTTTGGTTCATCATCTGGGGGTGTTTTGTTCGGGTTTCCTTCTTCGCCTTTCATCTCAGTTTTGATCTACTGGGGTCTGTAAGGTCATCTTTTAAACAGGATTTGAGTAGTAGTCTTTTTCTCTTATGGATTTTTATCTCAGCTTAGTTTCTGGTCATTGTCTTTTGGGTGTTGATGGTTTGTTTGATGAATTTAGGGGTATTTTATCAGCGATCCTTTAGAAAAGAGATGATTTATGGGGGGAGGAATCTTCCTTGATTCTCTGTTTCTTTAACTGTTGATACAAGTATTTTCATATACAATGCTCTGCTTCTGGTTTTCAATGAATGAATGTGGGTTTCATCAGATCTTTGTGTTTGCTTACCAATAACTCTATTGAATCAATGGCAATGGGGACACTCCCTCTTCATTGCTTTTCTCTTTTTCCTATGCAATTATTGTTGGAATGAGCATGAGACTATGAAAGGGAAATGCAGGCTGGAAAGAGATAAAGTGGTACCTCTTTTGTGAAAGAGCTCTGTGCTTGATTGATAATAAATGAACAGAAATTACAAACACAGTTTCTATTACTGCATTACTAAATGCCCTTTAAAAGGAGCCTGTTTATAGCCGAATCCTTTACTTTTGAAATTTATCATCATCTGTTCGTTCATACACTGCTACTTTTTTTTAATGTAATTGTTTCATTTTCTTCAAGATCGACAAGCTTCTTGCGTTTTTCACTTTGTCTAGAACAAGTTTCTTAGTTTCGAATTTCTATGCAGTTTAGAAGAGTTTGAATGCCAACGCTCTTCTTCAACCATTTCTTTGTAGTTCTTTTTACTCTGTTCTGTTGGGATCCAATGGTGAATTCTAGAACTCTTTGAAAAGTGGAACTTCCCTCTCAGGTAACTAACCCATTATTCACATGGCATAGTCAGTGGGAAAGCCATATTTAGTTGGTGATTGTGATTATGGAAAAAGCAGCAAATTTGCATCATAGGGTGCAGGCAGGTTATAATTTTCAGATACGAGAAATTTCTCAGCTTTTTCTTTTTTTAGGCACCATAAAGAAGGAATTGGCCCTACGCCAAAGTAAAAAGAGACAGAATGATAAGGGAAATGTACTATTTCGGATGAAAAAGAGCTACATTCGCCAACTCTGTTTTTACCCCTCCCCTCTGTCTAATCAAACCAAAAGCTGCAGTACAGAGCAAACAAACATTATCCCAATCGTCCCTTCCTTGACCTAAACAACCTCAACAGTCTCATCATTCTGTCCCTTCACTCATCAATGGCCGCCCGGGCGATGGTGGTGGTGCGGTGGTGGTGCTGCTGTGATGTTGAGATGCGGTGGTGGTGGTAGAGCAGTTGTCGGTGGGGGGCATTGGTAACACTTGGTGAAAAGCCCGAATGTGTCGATCTGATGTACGAAGTTGGTCACACTAGCCCACCCGCCGAACCCGAATCCGACAACCAACACCCACACCACGACGAATGCATTGATCACATACGCTCCAACCCATCTGCCGGTGAACTTCGGCGGTTGCTCCACCGCATTCTGCATCAACAAAAACCAGTCACCAAATGACAAGTGGAAGGTTTCCAAGAGGACTGTCACAAAACAGGGGTGGTGGTGAGAATCAGAGTACGAACAGATACTCTGCCGCATCGCATGCAATATGGCAGCACCAAAGAATCTCGTGCCTTTTCCCTTTTTTTCCCTCATCGTATAACGAAACAAACTTTTTCTAGGAAACCAACTCCAAAAAACAAAATCTTTACAAAAACTAATGAACCACGACCACCCATTACTAATTAAACAAAACCCACATCAGACAGAGACTTGGGAGAACGAGCCGCTCCCTTGTCTGCTACACTGTGACCACATACACGCAACCAAAACATAGAACGAGAGAGAGAGAGAGTAGTAATCTAGTGCGGCGTACCTCACGGGAAGCAGGGGATCGGAAGGTGAACATGTGGGCGAGGGCAGGGATTATGTAGACAGTGAAGCTAACGAGGAGAGATCCAACGGTGGAGTTGATGGGGCCAAAAAAAGGGAAGATGATGGCCAAAAACCAAATGGGGATGACCACAGGCAATCTGGCAGCTGCCCTCTTGCATAAGCTCTTGCATTCGTGCATCCCAATGACCTTCTCCCACACAAAATACAGAGGAGTGCAGGCAAATCCGAATGTGATGAACTGCAACAATTAGAGAGCAAAGTTAGTATTTTTGGTTGAGTGTTGAGTGAAGGAGAGGAAGAGGAAGATGATGATGATGATTATGCCTGGTGGATGAGCATTAGGATGACAGCCATGTCTCTGAGGGGAGATCTTGGGAGAAGGGAGAAGGCATTGGAGTGATTCAGAAGCATGTCTCCAAACGCCCAATACACGGCGGTTGCTGATGGGAGTGTCAGTGTCAGCACATACACAGTCGCCACCAAGTATATTGCCTTGAACTTCTGTGGCTTCCACATCGCATGCATGATTTCCCTGCAAATTTTTTCCCACCATCAAAACACTTTTCTCTACTTTATTCCATTGATGAATCACTACAAAGTATAAACTAATTAGATTTCTTAGTCTAGTTTGATTTTGATGACACAGTTCATGTGGTTGAGCTAAAGGTGTGAGCTTCATGGGCCTTTCTCAGTTGGGCCAGTGGAGAAAGGCCCATCAAACAAAACTAAGGTGGTCCCTGTTCCCTCCTACTTTTTCAGATTCTTCTCAGGGTCTTATGATAAAAGAGAGAGGCCCATTGGAGAGAGAAACTTCACTTACAATGTCTAGAAAGAGAGGGGTTTTCTTTTCCCCAAGAAAAGAGGATGTCTTTTTTGCTCTCTCTCTCAGCTTGATAAGTACAGTTCAATTCAATAGTGTAAACAGCTTACAAATATAAAATTCATAAAGGTAGAGAAAAAAAGGGCAAGCTGAATATTTCTATACGGTGGGTGTGCTTAGAGAGGTTTGACAAAGGCATTATATTAATTACATTTGAACACACCAAATGGTATTGAGATCAAGAATGGTAAAAGATCAACTAAAAAACTTGAGAGATCTTTCATGGGTGACAACAAAGAGTGGAGTTTTTGACATTTTCAATGCCACACCACACCACACACTAGAGACAGCCAACAAACATATGCACATTCCACATCTTTGATTTGAAGACCGTAACGAAACCAACAAGAAAAAAACATTAATAACATAAAAAGGCTTTGAGATTGTCTTACACTGTGACAGCATGCCCACCAAATGTGTAAAGAATGTTTGTGGCCCCAGTGAAGTAAAGAACCAACTTGGTTGGACCAGAGTGCTTCACTCCCTCCACCTAAAAAACACATCATTAAAGCTTAAACCACACCGAAATCCTTCATTATCACACCCAAATCCATGTTTTTACAAAATGGGTTCATTAGAATCCAAGTTTTACAAAATGGGTTCATCATAATCCGTGTTCTAACAAAATGGGTTGATTAGAATCCATGTTTTACAAAATGGGTTTAGGTGGAAAATCTGATACCTGGCCATGGAGGATGGAGGCAATGGTGAGGTACCAAGCAGTGTAAGTGGTCATCAAAAGACCAAGAAAGGACCAGATTCTGTAGTTCCTAAAGGAAGGAATGAACACAGTAGTGGCACAGCAAGCCCCAAAGATGTACGTCCAAGTTCTCTTGTCCAAGTTATCATTTATGTAATAAATATTACTGCATACCAGAAGAAAAAAAGAAAAGAAAGGAAAAGAGGATCAATAATGCCAAGTTGAAGAAGGTGAAATCTGCAGAGGTGAGTGGAATTAGGTATTTATTACCTTGCACAAGCTATTAGTTGAATGACAGATCCAAACAGAAGAAAAGTGCAGTTAAATGCCAAACCCACATTTCTCCAGTGTTTCCCAAGCAACCCATCAAGCACCTCAAACCACTGAAAAGCCCCATTGTGAGGTCAAGATTCATGAAAGGGTTTTTGAAAAGAAAAAGTTGAGTTTATGAACCTGGATGACATGGTTTCTGAAATCCACTTTTTCCCTTTCCTTTCTGGTTCTGTATTCGATATAGAGAATGCTAATTAGATAGGCGGTCCAGCTGCCAAGCAAGCCATAGAAGAGCTGAAACAGCACCCCCGAGAGCATACCCAGTTGGGAAAACGAATAGGGCAGAGTAAGGAGAACTTGGGCGACCTAATTTGGGGCAAAAATCGATCAAATTAACCGAAACCCAGAAGATCGATTAATGGGGGGAACGGAAAAACAGAGAAATGTGAAGAAAAGGGGGAAAATGGACCTGGTTTGAGGCGCAGCTGAACCAGGCATCGTAGACGGAGCCGCCGTGCCAGAAGAGGTTGGAGAGCTTGGATTTGACGGTGGGGGGGTTGCCGTCGGCCTCCATTTCGACATAGTTTCCGGCGATCACGGTTTCCACTACTTTATCTGCTGCCATTTTTGTGGGTAATGGAGGGAATGAGGAGAAGAACTGAAGGAGAAGTTGCAGAGGGTTGGGGATATATATACACTGCTTAAAAGGTGGCCATGTGGGCTCTTCATGAGTGGGAAAAGCCTGTGTTTGAAGTTCGAGGGGAATTTTGGAGAAGGTGATGATCATAAATCAAATTTGTTTATTTCCAATTTAATTTCCATATTTTAAAAGTTTCATCTTTCTTACCCATTTAGTCCCTAGATTTATTTTCCTTTTTAGAATATTAATAAATACATTTTTCACGCGTCGAACTATATTTATGTTGATTTGATCAAAGTTAAAAAAGATGAATATGCTATTAATATTAGTAATTATATCAAGAAAATGAACTATATTTATGTTGATTTGATCAGAGTTAAATATCATATAGTCTTCACTTGTCACATTACAAATAATTAATTCTTTTCTATGAAAAAAAAGGAAAAAAAGATCATTGACAAGGACGTATTGTAGTGCTTTAAGCAACATGTATTCATTTACTTGAAAAAGAAAGTGGCATGTATTTGATTCGACACTAATTTTAGAAGTTAGGATTATAAAATATTTTGTTTCGTGTAATTACCGCTTTGGTCTTTAAATTTTTAAAATGTCTATTTTAGTTTATGGAATTTTTTACACTGTATTTTCAAAACTTATGTACTGGTTTTCGTACTTTTAAAAAGTGACTATTTTGATCTCTTCATTTTTTATTTTGATATCGTTTCTTTCAATTACAATTTTTGCACTCATAAATTTTTTTTAATTGTAGTCATAAAATTGGTTTAAAAGATTTTCATTGCGTATAAAATTTTGCAAATAAAGGATCAACATAGTCAATTTTTTAAAGTATGTTTGTGCAACAAAATTCGGATTGGTCAAACCTGGTCAAGGTAAGACAAGTAGAATAACTTGAGCGCTTGGTCGAGGAATGATCTGCACAAGAGAGGAAAACACTTCGAAGCTCAAGTCAATTTAGGCTCAGACTTAATATGGAGTTCGAGATAGAATTTGATAACTGATGTGGAAGTAAGACCCTTTAATTATAGGTTAGGGGTCGGCAGGCTATCCGATAGGCAGTTACAAGTGTCGGTCCGAAGGTCGGACATATCGGGTGCCTAAACTCGACCCCAGATGGTGGTCACTCCACTAGGAGGCATTTTCACAAGGTTCCGTGACTAAGTATGCTAGGTCGAATCTCTCCAAAACTATTCTTAAGCAGGACCTGGTTATTCTTGAGCTTCCTCTGTTCAACATGTGGTAAGATTATTTTCTTCTCCCAACAAAATATAAGAACCAAAACAAACCTTATGCAAGTATATGGACTAAAACGAATACAATCTAAAAGTACAACAACAGAAAGTAAACGTTTTAAAAATACAGAGACTAGAATAAATTAAACTCGAAACCACGAGACATAAAGTAATATTTAAAACAAGAAGTTAGGGCATACAAGGAATTTAAAAAATTGTGAGGCCCTCCATTGTTATTTAGTATAAGTCAGGGGGTATTAAAATAGCAAAAAAGGAGGGGGTTATATAATTAGAGTGAGTGGCTTTTTCGCACGAGTGGCTCTATTTTGGGTTCCCGAGCAAATTAATGTATTATTTAATTTTAATCTCGATTATTGTTCCTAATCACTAGAATTCCACCCTCAATATAAGTAAAAAGAAAAATAATTTTTTTTTCCAAAATTTGTATTTTACCAAAGATGGGTGGAGGGAAGAAAGTTGCCCTCTTAATTCGACTTAGATTAAGCTTTTTTTATTAGTTATGAAATTGAAAGACTAAATATATAATAGTTAGATGTTGAATTTTATTATTCTTTATGAAAAATTTTAGCCGAGTGGATTAAATTCTCAATTTAAATATGGTTAAAATATTTATAACTTTCTTAAAATAGAAATGGGTGCCATTATAGCCCTATAAAATTATTTTTGTAAATAACGAGTAGAAGAGATATTCTAGTGTGTCCATTTTTTTTTGCACTAAAATAGAAATCTCAATCAATTTTAAAATAGGACTCCTAACTTCTTTCTTCTTTTTTAATATAAAGAATAGAAATTTAAACCTCTAACGTTTAAAAGAGGCTCTATTATCTTAATTAGATAAGTTACGTGACATTACATTATATGTGACTTCGATTTTAATGTCTCTATGAAATAATCGTAAAAGTCGAAAACATAGAATAATAGCAAGACGAAGACAAAAAGAAAAATTCATACAAAAAGGGGGAAAAATCAACCATGAGAGAGAGGAAAAAGGAAAAAGGAAAATAGGAGAGGGAGACAAAAAGGAGTTGGAAAAAAAAAGAGAAGGGAAAAAAAATAATTATAAGAAAGAAGACCGCATGATTACAACCAAAGGGGCGTGGTCTCTTCAAAACAACCACCAAACTTACTTTTTTCACATGCCCCTCTCTCTCCAAATATTTATAAAAAAAAATTTAATTAAATACTATTTTATATGCTCTCGATTTTGATTGTTATATGTTCAAAACGTTCCTTTTAGTTACTGTATTTTTAATATTGGTTCATTTTAATTATCATACTTTCTAAATATCTATTTTGGTCTTTTGCACTCTTAAAGAATTGACAATTTTAGTCCTTATTTACAAAATTGTAGCTCAAATTTTATACCTAATAAAAATCTCTTTCTATAAATTTATGGTTATGTTTTTAAAAATGTAGTGGGTGAAGTGTTAATAGGGATGACAACACGGTAGGGTGGGAGTCATCCCCATCCTCGCCTCATTGTAGATTTTTCCCCATCCTCAAAATTTTAGGGGTTGGGACGGGCGAAGATGGGTTCCCCGCAGGGAACCAGTCCCCGACATACATATATATATATATATATTTATTTATTTAGAAATATTTATTAATATTTTCATTATTTAAAAAATATAAATTTTTTTATTTTATGGAATATTGTAAATTTCAATTAAATACAATTAAAAGTATTTATTAAAATTAATATATATTAATATGATTATATATAAAAAAAATATTAAATACCCGTCGGAGAACCCAATTAGGATCTCCTGTTTGACCCCATCCTGATCAAATCGGGATTTCCCGCCCAAACTAGGTCRGGTATCTGTGGGTTCTTTTGCCGTCTCTAACTGTGAAGCAAAAATTTTGATCGAAAAAAATTTAAAATACAGAAGTTTAAACAGAGAATTCAACATCAAAATAAACCAAGATAGGGACCACAGTAGTATTGAAGCAACAAATTTGAAACCCAAACCAAACAAAGTGTAAGAAATGAAAGAACATGGTGATTGGATTTTGGGAGACACCCACAAAACACAAAACAAAACAAACTGCCTTTTCTTCTGTATATTCTCTGCCATTTTGCCTCTCTTCTCTCAAGTTTCTTCTTCTTCTTCTTTTTTTTTCAAAGTTTATTTAACTCTATAAGATTAATTATCACTACCCTCCCAACCAAAAACTCATCATATATTCTTGTGTGTTTTCTAATTAATTATTGTTTCCACTTCCCTTTAATTTTGTGGCTTAAGTTCTACACCTCATTGAATTCCCTTCCAAAACATTCTCTTCACAATTCTCATTATTGTGTTTTATGCTGTTGCATTTGCTGCCCATTTTAGTGCTAATTGAGTGGCTTCAAGTTTGCCCATTTGCATCCCATTAGCCACAAAGGGGGAGAGGGGAGACATGGTTCAATTTTGTTTAGACCATATTTGGGTCATTTTAGGGTAAGGTTTTAATTCTCTTGAATGAAATATTTGAACTTGTCTAACGGATGAAACTCGTCGTCGCAAAGCTAGCTAGATAGAGTCCATGTCTTTTTAATTTTTCGTGACACAAAAAGTAGTGTAGTTGTTAATGAATACGTCAAATAATAAAATGTTGGTATTAGTTGAAAGGAAATATATGTATATTTACAAAAAGGAGTTTAGTCAAATAGAATACGTTCTCAAATCAGTTCTATACCTAATAAATTATCCCTACACTTTTATCATTAGAAAAAAACATGAAACCATTTTGTAAATGACCTCTAAATTCAAACAAAAGCTATTATACATAATTGAAATTATAAGTACGTTGAACATAGTGTAGATACTTGTAAAGTACACTCTACTTTTAGAGTTGTTTGACCGTAAAAATGATCAAGTTTGAATTCGCGAAGCTCGAACTACATGCACCGAAGTACGAAAGAAGAGTTAACACTCAAACGTTCTAGTTAGTTTACAAGTCGATCTATATTCGAGAGAGAATATATTTTGTTTACCTTATATGAGATGTGAGGCACTCTATTTACAGAGGCGATACCTTGCATAGGTCGGTCGATATGTAGAATATAGCGTAGCTCGACATCAGTTTACCGAGCTAAAGTAACTTTCATTTGTAGAATGTAATCTTCCTATATTCTCCTCTTTGATCATCTTGACAGTTGATGATCTCTAATATTGACACGTGGTAGTTCCTGCCACAAGAGTCATTATATTTGATGCTAGCTTTCAATTAAGATATATCAAAAAAGGGTAAAAAAATCCCCATGATGAAATTAATCAACTAAAGAAATCTACACAATATCTTTACACATATCAAAATAGCCAAACTTTGGACTTTGAATTCTATTTTGTTGTGTATTGTAGTAGACAAAGACCAAAAAGAAAAAAAAAAAAAAGGGGGTATGAAAGTGATTGGATTTTGGTGATATATTTTTTGGACCCCAAAAGAGCAACCTCTTTCATCTTTCCAAAGCATCATTGTCAAGCTATTAAGAAACAAAAAAACAAAGCTACTAATTATAAACCATAACATGCCAAAAGGGAAAGGAAATATATTGGCATTGGCATGCCTATAGTTTTATGTCCTATGTGCTATAATGATCCATTATTTCTTAAGATTATGCAACAAAAACCCAAATATAGAGCTTCTATAATATGCTTACAAATTAATTTCCCATATGGTGCTAAAAGGTATTATCATTTGGTACAATCATTATGCCACTCATCAAAACTTCTTTCCTCTAAAGAATGATTTTCAACAAGATTTTGAATAACTTGATAGATTTTTTGGGTATAATCATATGATAGATTATAAAATAGAGTAAATCCTATGAAGTTTATGTGATTATGTAGATAATAGTAAATAATAAGACATAGATTTACTTGGGTAGGTAAAAATGGGTGAGATTAGCTAATTTTGCAAGTCCTGACTCTAGGTTTGAAAAAGTTTCCAAATATCCAATCATTACAGCTCTTATATTGATTAAATATAATAAAATTGGTATATGTGACATATTTAAGATAAGTAACTATCTGTTAAAACGAGCATAGCTCAGCGGTAATTGACATATATCTCCAACTAAGAAGTTGTAAGTTCGATCCTTCATCCCTAAAAAAAAAAAAATAAGTAACTATTTGGCTGGGACAATAATTCTACAAATACTTTCTATGGAACAAGATCTTGCACTCTCATCTTGTTACGTTGAATAATAGTATATTTGTTATTGAAGTCGCCGTTCCGCGCACCACCCGAAACCTACTTTCTTTTCCTACAAAATCAACCAAGTCTAACCGGTTACGATACGTTGTTGATATCGATTGAATTTGAGGGACTTTCGTTGATTGAATTCATCCATAAACCTAGACCTTGGCAACCTTCATAACCAAAGCGTCACAACAACATCCAAATGTCACTTTTAGATTCTTAAGTTGGTGAGCAAGGAGGGACATGACAACATCCAAAGGTCACTTTTAGATTCTTAAGTCAGTGAACAAGGAGGGACACATAGAAATGCTGACGACCACTACATAAATAAGCCACTTATAGCTGAGAGAAAGCGAGCACCACCTTATCTTCCATAAGTTAGGCTCGCTTAAGGCCACATGATCCTACAACATTTGTAGTGAGAAAACACATAGAAATTTATTCTAAAGCAGGTGACCATCACGAGATTCGAACTCAAAATCCCTCGATTTAACTTATGGACCAATCAGCCATCTACGATGGTGGCGGGGGGACGGATGATTTAGATACTTGTACAATTTGGGTATAAAAGGGTTTTTAAAGGATACACACAAAAGTCCCAAATCCAAGAGAGAGAAACCCTAGGATACAAAAAAGTGGAACACATCAAATGATTAAAGCTTCAAAGTGGTTCAAATTATGGGCTAGCTGCCTCAAATTTTTTGATGGGCTTTCTTTTTAAGGTGTTGGGAAAGAGAATCACCCTTTTGGTGAAAAAAAAAACATAAAATTTGACCTAAAAATTGAAAATGAAATAGATGCCATTTTACCCACAAAGGGGTGGGCCTAGAAAACATTGCCTTTGCTTGCTTTTTATGCACAATAAAGAGGGTGTGGGTATAGTGGTCAACTTCTTCTCCCAATTAAACTTCAAAATTTTTTTACATATAATTGCATATTTCACCCCCACCAACAAAAACAAAAAAACACCATTATGGAGAGGTGAATTGGAGAAGGAATCTCACTGCTTTTTACAGAGGAGAATTTGATGATTTTATACCTCTACTTTATGTCCATTGTGTCTTCCACTTAAAGCTGCCACTATATAATTCATCATCTTCTTCTTCTCTACCTATTTTACCAAAGGGTTGAGAGGTTATATCTCATTGTGCTTTTTTAACTGTTGAAATTGTGGGGATTGGTAACGGGTTCAACGTAGTTTAGTTGGTCGAGATATTTGTCAGGGTCTTTTTTAAATATTGTTAAGGCTCGAAGTCTCATCTTTTGATGCATGATTGAGGACCAAGTGTGACATATTAGCAAGCGAGCTGAGGAGAAGAACTGGGTACCTACAGATAGAACCTTACATTGGTGTGGTTGCTCGACCACGTACACTCCAAAGTTTAAGTTAGTACTTAGTCTGAGTTGATGTTTAGCGATTATTTAATAGATTTTCTACTTGCTTTCAGTAGATCATCTGTCAACACAAGTGGCGTTTTGCTGATTATAAACGAATATTTTGCCAGCAAATTAAAGTCTTCCTTGAAGATTAGCCGTGTTCGAGGCCCGAACACTCATGTCTCAAGGCAAGAGAGCTACATATTACCTTTGGTTTCACCTTATGTTTTTTTTAATCAATGATGTTATTTAGTTGTTTTCAGTAATTAAATGATACAATTAGTGGGAATCATAGAGCAATAATAGAACTATTTCCCAAACTTGGGCTACGTTAATGGGCCATGTGCATATTCCTTTGCAAGACATTGCTTTATTGCTTTATGGGGTTTGAAAAGGTAAATAAATTAGAATGAATTGTAAAACTTAGGTTTAAATTTTGTTATGATTTTTTTAGTACAACATACCGTGGCGGGAATCGATTGAACATATATGCCAATTATCGCTGATGCTCACTTTGACAATTTTGTTATGAATTTATGACCTTCTAATTTGATTTGTCATATGAATCCACTTTATCTTTAAAATTTTTAAAGATTTTCTAAAATAATTTTAAAAAGTAAATTAACATAAAGGCTAAAAAGTAGATTAATGAATGATGTAAATAATATATAAATTTTGGAACTTACTTGATGAAATGACCCGAAAAGAATCTAGAAATCTACCTTCTTCCCCTTCCCCTCCGTCGCTGCTCCCACCAACAATGGTTCCGCAACTGAACTGGACCACCCCTCATTCGAAGTAATTTTTTTTTGGTAAATTACACAAACCACCCCTAAAATATGATAGTTGTTACAATTACACCCTCAAATAAAAATTAAACCCTCAATTTTTGATAAATGAAAAAATTTGACACCTGACTAATAAAATTAAACCCTTAAACTTTCCTAATAAAAATATACCTTCAAAACTTTTAATTGTTAAAATTAAACACTAAAATTTTCAAAAAAAAATTGCATCTGAGAAGCATGACAGTGATCCGTCGAAACGTAGAGAGACATGGTGGAGAGAGTAGGAGAAGCATCTGAGAAATGGGGTTTCTTCCAACTGGTCAACCATGGAGTTCCGGCGAGTGTTGTGGAGGAGATAAAAAATGGGACACGCAATACTCCTAACCTTCCCAACCCTCAACCCTCAAGACCTGCCCGAAGTTTTCCAGTAATTTAGAATTTAAAGTAAAAGATGGAACTTTTTTAGGTGTCTTAAATAGTGAGTGTTTGTTGCAGGGAGTCGATCTTATTCGAATACTGAAAAATAAATGAAGAAACTGTGGAGAGTTTTAAATCTTCACCAGTGGTTGTCGACACTGCTGAAAGGGGGCGGATCGCACACTGAAATTCGGGGTCAACGAAGACGATATATATTTTAAGACAATTTTTTTTAAAATTTTAGGGTTTAATTCTAAAAATTAAAAATTTTGAGGGTATAATTTTATGGCATAGAAAAGTTTTAGAGTTTAATTTTATTAGTTAGAGTTTAGATGTCTGATTTTTTCATCCATCTTGAGGGCTTAATTTTTTATAATTGAAAGTGTAATTATAATAACTAGTAAGGGGTGGTTTGTGTAATTTACTTTTTTTTTTTTAAGAACTTTTCCTTTATCAAAAGTTTAATTTTTTTAAATCGGAATTTAGGGTGCAATTTATTATTATTATTATTATTTTTTACATTCAAGTAAGTTTATGAGTTGTAATTATAACAATTTAATGTTTGAGAGTCATCATATTTTATGGGCGGACTTTTTTTCACTTTTAAAAATTTAAGAATTTACTTTTTATTATTGAAAGTTTGAAGTGTAATTGTAACAATAATTATACTTTAGAGATGATTTTTACCATTTGACCGTAAATATATATCAAATTTTAAAAATTTTCATGTTCAAAGATTTTCAATGAGACAGTTCGAAATAGATACAAAATATCATATGATTAAAAATTGATCTTTGACACTTTCTATACAATCTAATCTTTATTATCACCTCTAAAGTACTTTTTTTTTTTTTTTAATTCCTCTAACTTGACTAGAAAAACTCTTTTGGAAGAGTATCACTTGAGGGTCTTTCATATGATTATTTAATTTCTTTTTTATTTAAATAATTTTTTTAAGTATTTGGAAATATTTTGAATTTTACATTTTTTACAAATCTATCCTTTGGAATTTATTATTATTATTATAAGTTTGGTCCAATAGAATTGTGTCTATTGAATATTTATTTTTTAAAATAATTTTTAGTAAATTCTTAAACTTTTATAGGCTGTGTCTATTCTTAAATTTTCTAAGTATAATAATAAAACAAATATAGAGGGTGGAGATTTAAATTTATAATATGAACACATGTGTCTTTACCGATGAGCTATTCTCGTGTTGGTAAGAAAATTCATAAGATTTTAAATTATTGCACCATGTTTTGAATTCATTTTTGTAAGCTAGCTTTATTTTTTTCATCATCCCAATGATAACTAGGTCAACTAGGGATGGTTTGAAAAAAAAAAAACGAATCTGAAAACAACTCTTGTTTTTAAGGTAGTATTTAAACATGAAAAAAAGCTCCCTCCCCCAATATAGTTCCACAATAACTCTTGTATGTACACAAAATATATACATATTTCTTCTTGGTACAACAATACATGAGAGTGAAGTTCGAATGCACGAACTTTTGATAAAAAATACATACCTTATTCAGTCAAGCTAGGCTCGGGTTGGTACAAAAATATATACCTATATACCATTGGATCAGGGAGGTACGTATTTGTAAAGTGGTAGAGAGAGAGAAGAAAATACCTAAACAAACTGATTGAGATATTCATCCACAGTGGTGTATTCAATATCTGGATACAGCTCTGTAGCTTCCAATCCAACTGATGCTTCTATTTCACGGTTGCTATGATCTCCCTTCACAAAAATTGAGTATTCAAAAGCCAGCATCAAATTCTCTGGATCCTCTGCACAATAAACCAACTAAAAGTTAATCTACTTTTTATATATACAGTTTTCTTTAAAATCTTAACTATATTAAAAATGTTTCTCCGGTTTACCCCTAATACGTCTATTTACTACGATGATTTAGCCCTTATACTTTTATCAACGTAATAATGAAGCTTTTGAATTAAAATTTTCGTTAAAATCTTATGCGAAGAATAGATTATGCATGAAATATGGGCCAAGGGATGAAATTTGATTGACTTCCATCTCCTGTCAAAATCAAAAGTGATTTAATTATATATTCATTAGTATGATTTAGTTATGATAAAACATTTTTTCTTTTATATAAGAATCAAACTATTACAAGAGTCAAAATAGAAATGTATTTTTTTAATAAGGTCTCACTCCTTGCATTATGCTCATGGTTCACTCCGCTAACCTCAAGAACTCCCATCTAAGACTCAAATAAAATATAAAAAATGATTAATTTTGTGTTCTAACCTTGGATGTTCTTCAGCAATTGGTCCTCTGATATGTAGATTTTCTGGAGGGTTTTCCCAATTTTTGTTTCCCAGAGGGCAACGAGTTCGTTCAAGGAGAAGACATTTTCAGGGGGCTTGATGTAGACAATTTTGTTCAAAGTTCTTGGGTCATCCATAGCCCTGATAGTGTAGGAGGCAATATCTTCTTCCTTGTTGAAAATTACTGAAAATTAACAAAATGGAAACCAATAAAAAATCATCGTCTTAGATGCAGACATTTACCAGAAAACCCACTTGGATATTATAGTACTAGCTAATAGAAAAAACCAAAGCAATCCAAAATGGAAACCAACAAAAACTCATTGTCTTAGTTCGCACTTGCACAATCTAGTTTCAATTACTCAATCTTTTACTTAAAAAGAAATTAAAAATGATAATACTTCAAGGATTTTTCTTTTTTTTTTAAGTACAACATGTTAAGTTTGAACTATATGTCATGTTTGAAGTATATGTCAATTACCGCCGCTGAGCTAAGCTCGCTTTGACATACTTCAAGGATATTTTTACTTGTATTTTCACATTAAATTAGAAAATAATCATTCAAAATATATATATATATATTTTGTAAAAAAATTATTGAGTGGAAACTTAATAAATAAACAGTAAAAAAGGATTTTTTTTTTCATTAATAAATTTGTCCTTGATTTTGGGAGAAATTCATTCAACGATGAAACTAACCTAAACAAATTTATAACTCAATCTCATTGCAAAAAGGGAAAAAAATAAAAAAGGGTTGGATTGACGAACCTTTTTTAATTCTCAAGTTTTTCAAACCCCATGTTCGTATAAAAAATGCTAAATATATGTTTAGACCCTAATGTTGGGGTGCTTTTCAATTGATTTCTTAATATTTAAAGAGTTGTAATTTAGTTCCTGTATTTAAATTTTTTTTAATTTAGTTCACCATCACGGTGAATGTTAAAATTGGACAAACTTACGTGGCAATAATACCCTAGTGAATTGGTGGAAATTTAAAAAAGAAAAAAGGCTCATCAATTTCTTAAAAATCTAGAGGGAAAATTAGAAACATTCATCTTTCAACTTTTTCTTCTCTAAATTTTCCATCAACTCACTAAATATTATTATATCATATAGGTTCATCGTGAATTAATTTTAACATTTACACAAATTAAATTAGAAAAATGTTAAGACACAAGGGACTAAATTGAAACTTTTTAAACAACAAAGACAAAGAACACGAAGGATTCTCTAAAATATATTTAGCCCGAAGAAAATATAAAGAGTGAAGGAGTTACCCTTGGGATTTCCATCCCCCTTGATAATAACCTTGTCTCTGGGTGGAGCAGAGGCCCCATGCTGAGCCAGACTGGGAAGACAAAACCCATTAAAATAGTAAGACCATACATAGGTGTAGGGGATTCCCTCAGCCTCCACAGCTCGGCGAACTCGAACCTTTGCCTCAAAAATTGACTTCACTGGCCCAACTCCATGAACATTATTCTCTACATCGTACCCAAACTCTGAAGGCAAAAATCTCTGCACCAACCAAACAAAATTTGTTTCCACCAACATTTCAGCCATTTTGTAAGATTTCCATCTCATCTCATTGAATCAATCTCTTGAAACCTGAATGTGAATTAATCACAAAAGGCAAATAAAACAACTGAAGGGCTGGGGAAAGAGTGGTCCCCCGCCCGGTCGGAGCTATAAGAAGACTTTCCAGTTGTTCATGAACATGAAAAGGTCGTAGTTACAAAACTTGAGAAGAAGAACAAAAATGCTTAAAATGGTGACAATCATAATTTTTCCCCTGTTTCTTTTGTTGGGTTATATTTCTTTTGTTTCCCCTTTCAAGTGAAAGATGAATTCTAGTCACTTAATTCTTTGACTTGTTAGGCATCTTGGTTCCAGTCTCCTGACTAGAATACAAAGTTTTCATAAAATGATTAAACATGGATTTTAAAGAGAGTTGAAGTTTCAAATGATTAGGAAATGTTGGTTAAAATTTTGATCAATTAAGATAGTATAGTAGACATCAAAATCCCATTTCATCCTGTAAACGAAATAAATAGTTATAAAAACTGAAGCAAATGTTTTCGTGACCTTGACATTTCCAGCTTCTTTAATGGCGTAAATGAGCTTATCTTGATCGCCTAACTGGTTAAGACCGACCGTCGATATCACCACATCCACCTGCTTTATCGCATTCACCAGACTCTCGCGGTCGAACAGGTCGCCCTGCAAGTAAGTGCTCAACAATCAGTTATCGAAACGCAATCTGTTCGTCTACTGCCAGTGCGCATTTCCGTTCCTGCAGTTCTTTCTCATTCCGAGAGAAATCCGATAGAAACGAAAATCGAAACCAAAAACAAGTAAAATATTGACTAATACAATATTTTCTGGAAATTAGAGCAGGAGAAGTAAACGCAAAACTGAAAAAGGATAGGATATTGTCCTCTAATTTATCGGAAGGCGCCAAACAGAAAAGCAATGAAAAGGATTGAGTAATTAGTTGCAGTATTACAGAGACAATAGTGACTCCGAAGCTGTTGAATCTCTGAATAATCTGAGACTTGGCCGGATCGGAGAGAGCTGAATCTCGGACGAGAGCGTAGGTCGGATGACCGGCTTTAGCGCTCGCCTCCACGATAAATTTACCGATATAGCCGGTGCTTCCGACGACGAGAACTCTGCTCTTGCCGGCCATTGGATGAAGTTTTCCGGCGAGGAATCGATCGGAAAACACAGACGAAGAAGCAGAACCAAGCGATTGGGGAAAGGGAAAATGGAAAGCAGAGCGGAGACTGGAGAGTGTGCCTATGGAAACTCCACCATTTGGCTGTAAGTCAAAAAGACCAAAATATCCAGTTTACCTCTTCTTTTCGTTTTAGATAAAATAAAAACAAAAAATAGAGGAAAGAATCAAATAAATTTAAAGTGAAAATGACTATCTTATCTAAATATTAAATTTCTATTATTGATTTTAAAGTTTATTTGAGGAAGTATCAAGAATGTGCTATTAATTAGTATAATTTATCATACTGTGTTGGGAGAGAAATGATGAGGACCAACCACGTGTCACAGAGGAGAAAGAAATCAGAGCTATYCTAGTTCTGAAGGTCGAAACGGAACGACCAAACAATTCCTATAGAAGCCATGATCGAAAGCCCTCAATAATACGAGCGAGTGACCAGCGGTTAGATGTACCTATCCCTGACCACCTATGGTGTGGTATACCAACTCTCCAACTCCTTGTCAGACAATATTCATACACCCATAGACAAGGGACTGCATTATTTTTTAGTTCAGCTTCTCATTTAAGTCATAGAAATTGGCTTAGCATCGGAGTATCTACTCTACTCTCTTGTGTAGGTATTATGCACCCAACACCTAAATCGAGCTATTCGAACCTACCAACTTCCGACCAGACTGAATCGAACTATTGATCAAAACAGTCGACCAATTTAAAAATAAAAATTTTTAGTATTTCTTAACATAATATGAAATTTAGTGATTCTCAAATCAATTTTATATTTAACTTAAACTTTTATCAGTGATAATCTCGTTGATTTTAAACGAGGCAGGTGCAAATATGTCAAAAATATTTAGTAAAATTAGTAAAATAACAACCACATTTRATTTTTTTTAATATAACACATTTTAAAAAGCAAAACAAAATGGAGGTCCAATTTTAAAATGATAGYTTTACCCGAATGATATACATCTATAATATATCTGTAATATATCATGTATGTAATCTCATATACTATTGATATAAGTGTCTGATATACTTGCAATATGTATGTGATATACATCTAATATACTACTGATATATTATTAATATAAATAAAAAATTTTACTATATTTAAAAATTAAAAAAACAAAAAAACAGCTCATATATTTTAAAATACATAAAAGATTTTGGATAATTTTCGCATTTKAAAAAGTATGGTCGGTCAACTTTTAAAAAACGAATTTTTGAAAACAATTTTTTTTTTCTTTTTAACTTGACTTGCAAAATAAATAAAGTTTAGTCCGAGAAATTTTTTTTCTAATTCCATATGTCTAACGATTACATCAACATTGTAATATTGTAGTTGGGCTGGGCTTCCATGAATAATTTAAGCTTTTCGGCTTTGGTGGGCCTCATTATATGGGCCTAGTACCATTTTAAAAGTTCTTAGGCTTTTTACGAGTTATATTTATTTTTACGTAAATTACATTTTTAATTCACAAAATTTTAGGCCTCCCAACTTTAAAAATATCTAATACATAATTCAACTTTCAATTTTTTTTTTTGTCTCATATCACCATTTTAAAAATTAACGAATTTATTAGACATAAATTTAAATTTTATGTCTAATAGAATATTGAACTTTCAATTTTTTTGTCTATAAAYATGTGGATTTTTAAAAAAGGTTGAATAGATGAAAGATAATAAGATACAAAATTGAAATTTCATGACTTATTAAATACAAAATTGATAGTTTATGGAACTATTAGATACTTTTTAAAATTTAGTGAYGTATTGATACAAAATTGAAATTTCAGAGCGCTATTAGACATTTCTTTAAAGTTTAAGAACTAATAAACTTGTAAGTTAACCTTAACTTTTATCATTAAATTTACTTTTATTTCATAAGCTTTGAAATATTCTAATAAACTGTCAAAGCAAGTATAGCTAATCGGTAATTGACATATACGTCCAACCAAGAGRTTGTGCGACGCTCCTATTTGTTTGGAAGAAATTGAAATTTGGAAGTAAAATTTCAATGCATCATATGCATGTTTAGAAAAAAAAAATATTGTTCATGTTTCCTCTTTTTTAATAAAGAAAATAAAGAAAACTATAATTTTATGACTCACAGTATCTCTTAATTCAAGAATGATAAATAATATTTTTATTTATATTTTAAAACAAATTGGAAACGAGAAAAAAATAAGTTAAGAAACGTGTTTTGTTTTATAATTTTTTTAGAAATTATAAACGTTTGTTAATTATTCGTGTTTCTCGTTTCTAATTTGTAAGAAACGTTACAATAAAAGTAAGTTTCTTATTTTCACTTTTTTTTAAGCAAATAAAAGCATTATTTTATCATTCTGGACTGAAAATTAACTTTCATAAAAAATTTTATTTCTTTTAATTTCGAATTTTAGAGAGCATGAAGTAGAAAATGGTTTACCAAATAAATATATATATATTATATTTTAAATAAAAAAGAAAGAATAAGAAACCAGGAACGTTTACGAATACAATCCTATTTTTATTTATTAAAAAAAAGAAAACAAAAAACAATAATGTTATAAATGAGCCTTAAATTTAATATTTCTTCCTAAATTTAGGTTGTATTTGGGAGTAATTTAAAAAAAAAAWTTAAAATAATTGATTTTCTAACATCACCATGCATGTGATACCTTAAAAATCAATTTAAAGTGATTTTTAACTTTTCTAAATTAAAATTTTAATTTGTGGATTGAAAAGTGGTTTTGGTAATGACAAAATTGATTTTAACCCTATTAAAAAATCACTCTCAAACACATCCTAATAAATTTTTAAATGCATGTTTAAATAAAACAATTTTAAAAATATTTTAATTAGTTTAAACTATATTTCTCTGTCTTGAGAGTCATGTCAAATCTACTCTCAATATATTAAAAAAGAAAACGTGGGCASAAGAAAGAGAGTCAAAAAGGGGAAATCAAATCATAGATTAAAATATTTTAATTTATGTGAAAGAAAGTTCTAAGAAACTCGAAGGCCAAAGTTTGAAAGAAATATCCCAACTTTTTTTTTTTTTAATGTTGAAAGCAATGTGAAAAAACTGTCCAAAAGTTGGTATATTTTTTTAATATGTTTTACTAAGATGCTTACGTGTCAGCAACAATTTTTGCGCTGAACATTAATAAAGATTTAACAGCAAAAATAGTAAAAATATCTATTTTTCTATATTTTCTCTTTTACTTATCAAAATTTAATGATGATTAGTAAAAGATAGATAYAGATAGATAGGTAAATAGGTAGGTAGGTGCTGATTGATAAACATCTCAGCAGTTGGGTACTTGGATTTTTGTTTYAGTGGGCTAATTTTTTAAATTAAATTATATAAAAAATTATATTTCTTTTATTAGTTTGAGTTGAACAGTTAAACATTGTTTATTCTACCATGTTTTATTTTTTTCTAATACMATTGGCAAAAAGTTCCACCTACCCCATTTGCTTTGCATATCCCATGATTCCCATCCAATACTCTMACTTTTCATAAATCTAACTTTTAGGTGTTCTTCTTTATACAAGTTTGAATTTTATTTGGTCCTTTTTAATCTCATTCTATTTGTTTATCAAAAATGTAATTTTGTTGAAACATTACCTAGACAATTTTTTTTTNGTCGACATTTCCATCCACATATCCATGTTTCTATAAGTTCGACATCAAAATGAGGGGTGAATCAACATTTCCATCGTAATACAAGAAAATCAACAAAATATGAAAGATATCAACCAAATGTCACTAATATATATAACTAATATTAGTATTAATTATTTTTAACTAATTTAGAAATGGGAAAATATTTATTTGTTAACATAAATATTTTTTACGATTTTTTAATTTTTCTAACTTTTACATAAATATTCATCGACGTCGACATTTTATCGATATTTCCATGAAATTGGGACCTTGATATTTCCATTGATATCGACATTTAAAACCTTGATTGAAACGACGAAATTTGAAAACATATATTAAGATTTGTGTTAAATGATTAAAAAAAATGGTTAAATGACAAAAGGATGTTTTACTCTACGTGTGGGGTTCCAACTTTAGTCAACTTCATAGAAGATAAGATACACAACATATATTTGACCATTATGATTTAAAAACTCACTCTAGATATTTTTTTTTCTTTATTCACTCACTAAAAATAAAATTTAAAATTTAATATGAATAAGAAAACAACACTACCATGGGAGAAGAGGGCACTAAAAATTAAATGGAGGGAAGAAACAAAAAAGATATTATGGAGAGGAGAGAATTAAGGACCATTTGGCAATTTTCCCATTAATGATTTTCACCATCCATCACTAAAAAAATAAAAACAAAATAAAAATAAAAATAACCACTTATTTTCTTCCACACAATCAATAGTCAATACCCCCACTTTTTTCCTACTCTTTCTAATCTTCTTCTATTATTTGTTTTTTTTCCATTTCATTTTCTTCTTCCTAATTGTCTTTGTCAAAAATAAAATAAATAAAAAATAATTTTTTTATGAACTCTATTTCTATCCATATCTTATCTACATCTACATTATCATGAAAGGTACAAATATGTATATTATAATGGTTTATATACTTAGCTAATTCGAACATAGTTCAGCAAATAATAAATTTTTTACCTTCTCAAAAGTTACCTTTGGCAAAAAACCAGAGTTATCAAGGATGGGGTATTAGAAAAAGACTACATTGAAGTAAAGTCAAGAAGCACTAAAAAAGCAACTACTCACTTTGGACCAAATTTCTAAGAGGTCGATCACGACATAAATGAAGGTGCTAGACTCATACATATGCCAGTCGTGAGTGATAGTGAAACATGAAAAAGTGCAAGATAGAATCAAAGAGCTTAGCATGAAATGTTTGAAAAAAATATCGGTAAAGATAGAGAAGGACTTGTGAGGAACATGGCTAGAAAATTTATACCAGCAACCACCACCCTTCTCCACCCACCAGATATCAAAGTTATAAATAAAACATCAATCAACTTATATATAATCAATTAAATTGTATCAATCGAGCATTCTAAATAGACCAATATGATTTAAGTGATTGCGAAATTAATAATTGTAAGATGGGAAAAAAGAAATTTAAAGAATGTTTG